CAGTGGCAAAAAAAACATGCCAGTCCAATGAATGCTGCTACAACTACTGCAGTTGGGGCAATTTGATGAATTAAACATCTTGGATATAAAATGTGCCATAACATTTGCACAGACCACTTTTTATGTGGAAAAATAAAAAGTAACTGTGCCTTGAAAAGCGCAGAAGTGTGTTCACTTAATAAATCAACAAAATTTAATTTTGGGGCACCCAAACTTTTGAATATGACTGTAACAGAAAAATCTGCAAAAAGTATAAAAATAAAAGAAAATATTGGCAAAATCCTAGCAAAAATGAGAATCAGATTATCAGAATAGGAAGAACAGGGACAAAGTATCTTTTTTGCTTAATTCAGTCATTAAGATTTAAACAAAATCATTCACAGTGGTTTGATGCATGAAGTGAAGCCTGAAGCGCATTGTAGAGAAACATATTGACTTGATTTTTTTTTTATTTTACTTTATGTAAGTTTTCTAACTTGCCATTTATTTGCTATACACATCTTCTAAGGTTTTATATATAATGTTGATGATGGTAAATTAGTGATAAATAAAAAAGGGCACTATTTTTCATTACAATGCCCTGCATTTACTTCTAACCTAAAACCTTTTCTCAGAATTGTTGTTGAACAAAGCATCCAGCCAGGGGCGCCATATGGGGAGGGAAAAGTTAAGATGATTCTAAGGGCCTGTGACTGACAGGGGCCCTAAAAAGTATTAGAACATTTGTAATTTTTTCACTATTAAATTATTAACCTGTCATCATTAATAGAATATTTTACTTACAATGTACTTATAAAACTAATGTTTAGGTAGACATGCAGAGAGCCTCTGTATTGGCAGTGAGGAGTGCTGGTGGACAGGGTTGGGTATCGCAATACACCTAACAGCGTTATGTCTTGTGGGTGGCAAAGTTAGTTTCGTATTTATGTGTATAATTTCTTTCTTCTGATGTATGCAAAATGCTAACGTGTAAATGATCATTACTTGTAGCTAAGACGATCAGCTCCCACGTAGTCCCTTTTTAATGCCTATTTAAACTTTCTGTGAACTGAAACTGATTAGGGTCTAAAAATTACAATCATCAAAGTCAGAGCATGACGCACCTACATGAAACCTTATGAGCCAGTGCAGCCCTTCAGCAGATAGATTCTACATCAATTACTTGTTCCCTTGTGTTTTAGCCTCAGTGTACCGATTTCTTAAAAAATTACAGTTAAAATCTCAAATCTCAATTTTTTTCCTGGGGAGCAAAGCTTGATTTCTGAACTTCAAGGTATGAATATATATGTCTAAACTCAAACAAAGTATACTATGTAAATCTGTAATCTGTCATCTTTATATTTTAAATATTTTCATATATTGGGCTTGGCTGTTTCACGAAAAGTGAGATCAGTGACTGTTTCTGGGCAGCACAATATTTAAATCACCTATAATCTGTTATCCTTTTTAATAAAAGAGTGCAGTTTTTAGTCTTCAGTAAAATATGCCACTTTTGCTCCCCTAACATTAGTTATTTAATATTTTCATAGAAAACTGTTGAGTGTTTAAATCTTACTTCTCTTTTAATCAATGCAGGAATAAAAGAGGAACAAACTATCCATACTAAATCAATTGTCTGGTGCCAGGCCCAACAGATCAGCTTCATCCCCCTACCCCTACCTATGAACCAGCTCTGTCTCCCCATCTGTGCAGTCCTACCAATGAACCAGCCCTCTCTCCCCATTCCCACAGTGCTACCAATGAACCAGCCCTGCATCCCCACCGCCATACCCCTACCAATGAACCAACCCTGTCTCCCCATCCGCATACCTCTACCAATGAACCAGCCCTGTCTTCCCATCCCACACCCCTACCAATGAGCCAGCACTACTCTCAACTGAAGAAGGAGGTGAGCAGCATTTGTTGAATAACATGTCAGTTGTCATATTTCAGGGGGTCCGTGAGAATTTCTTTTTTTATTATTATGAAAAAGGAAAAATGATTAAATCTTATTCAATTATAAGAATCCAAACATTGTAATTATTTTTCCACAATTCATTTTCAAATATTGGATTCGAAAATTTTACCATTAAAATTATCTTAAAACTTTGTAAAAGCTGGCCCTCAGCACATTTCTGTACATGTCTGCACAGTGTTATATTTTCAGGGTTGGAGTGGCCTGTGGTGGTGGGTGATGGGGCCCAATGTGATATCTTTATATGGGGCCCGAAATCCCTAGTGGCGCCCCTGCATCCAGTAACATGTTTAGAATATTTCATGTAATAATGTTCTGTAGCTATAAACACCACTGAGAACCATCCTGACTGCACAAGTTTCTCTAGAATGTTGCATTTCACATTAAATCACTCTGAATGACTTATGAATCTTAATGTACAGGTCAGTGAAGTTTCCCTTCAATTCTTATCATTTGTAAATGCTAAATGATATATGTTTGTAAGTTCTGGCACAAAATCTACTCCATAGCATGTTCCTGGAAAATTTGTTTAAAAAGTGCTACATTTATTTTCTTTTTTTTATGTTAATTTTTACCAACATGACGAAGTCATGTGAGTTTTGGTGAAATTCTGGTTGCTTTAACAGTTTTGTTTCTTTCATTAATTCAGAATCACAATGCTTAACATTTTTTTTTTTAATTTTTTGCTCAGATCCAATCTTTCTAACGTATTGGTTTACATTTGTGTTGTTACCTAAATCTGTCATTAATGTGAACAAACCTGTCCTGAAACATGTGCACATGCGAATCACGAATGTCACATGAATGAACCACAAACAAACTAACTAGCAGAGCAAGCCCTTGTAGCAAAGATAATTAACTCTGAGCAGCTCTCGGCTATTTATTATTAGGCTATATTGAGACCGCCAGCCCCAATCTGATTTTTGCCATATCCAGATTGTATACACATTGATTTTTGATAGTCTGGACAGCAAAAATACATCTGAAATCTACTGTTTACAGATCGGATCTGAACCACATTTGGAGATGGTTTGAAATGCAATTTCTATCAGATTTTTACAGATCTATAACTAGCATAATGATGTTACATATATCTGCATTGAAAATGTGATTTAACTTTTTTCTAACAGCGTTTTAAAAATCCCAGACACTGCAGACACGATCTCCACCCTCCCCTCTTATTACTTTTGTGTGTTGATGTTGATGAAAACTTGTCAGATACAATATTACAGTGATGGTGGTAAATAATGAGGAGACAGAGCTGAACGTGTGTCTGTTTATTTAGAGGAATAACGTTAACACGCTCGGCTAAAGCATTTGAGAAATGAAGACTGAATCTGGAGAGCGACGATGCTCTGATAAACAGCACGAAGCTTCAAGTTCATTACACTTTAGTTTTGTTTGACCTTTTTTCCATCAGTAACGGTAGCTAACGTCAGCTGTCTGGCTAACTAACATGATTATTTTGGTTACGCATTTACGTTTCAGCTGTGCCTGTATAGTCGGTTGCTAGGTAACAGACATGAGCGTTGATTGTTGACTTCGATGGAGTGAGTTAAGATTTTATGACTTGAGATAAGATGTTCTAAGAGAGGATAAGTTTTGGGCTTGTCTCCATAGACTGGTTGCTTGTTTATCTTGCGAGATCTGGCAACACTGCATTAAGGTTGCATGGCCACAAATTGGATACGTATCTGATCTAGGACCACATATGAAAGTGGCTCAGGACAGATTTCAAAAGATTAAATTTGTGTGTTCACACAGATCTGAAAACATCAGGTCTGTGTCACATTAAGAGGAAAAATCAGATTTGTGCCACTTCAGGGTGGTAATGTGAACATAGGATTAAGGCGCTTTCCTTAAGCTCTCCCATGAAAATTTTTCTTACCCTGTGCTTGTATCATGACAGATTCATTACACGTAAATCAGATTTTATGACTCTTAGCACAAGAGAGATAATGGCTTCTATTTGATATGTATCAGAAAATAATGACATGGGGAGGGTAATAAGGTCCCCATCTCTAGATCCCAAAGTAATCTAACCTGGGGCAGAGGTGGCCAGTGCCACCTGGTGGTGCCTTAGTGTGAAGTATGTCCACTCTTCAGGCAACCCCAGTTATAGAAAGTGAGACAGTCAGCCATTATCAATAAAGAAGTCACCAGATAAATATTCTCCTGTGTACCCTGTGTGAACATTTGCACTTCATGGTGTAACATGAACATGGTGTAACACGCAAAACTGCCATCAGGGCAGTTACTGGTCAAACACTTGCCAAAACTTTAATGTTAGCCTTGTCCATTTTACTTAAAGAAACAGCCTTCTACATTAGAAAATCACAGTTACAAACATCTAAATAAATGTTTACCTCAACATAGTATAGTATTTTTGCTTTGTTTTATGTCATGCTAATTGTCATTCACATGACTGAAGATTTTAACTAGTCATACAGTGTAGTAAATATTTTACACTGAACATTAGTAGTAACAGGAACAAAATCAGTTTCAGTTGTTTATTTAAAATGTGATTAACCAGTTAATGAAAACAGTTTTTTAAATAAAGTAGGCCTAATATAAGCACAGAAGAATATCATCAGCTGTTGATTGATTTTGTTTTTTCTTAGTAGTTTCCCTAGTAGTCTACTAAATTCAGTTCTAACCTGGCCACCCCATTGTAAACATCTTGACTATGCAACTGAATCTGCCCAATTTAGCAGTGCTTTAATATAGATCTCAGTCATTGTCAGTACAGTTTGCTCCAGCCTTTTTATGGGAAATGAGTTCTCCCCTCTGGTCCCTTTCCTAAATGAAATGGCAATAACTGGCAATAAAGTCTGAATGACATTCTTGAAACTTAGAATTGTAAACAGTAAAATTATTTAAAATTAACATAGATTTATACAAATTGAATCAGTGAGATTTGCTTAATCTTATGTTGAAAAAGTTAGGATAGAGGTAAATAGATTATAATATAATTTTAGCTCTTTTACATTTGATATTACTTTTGCAAATACAATAGAAGTATCCCCCACACCCATGATGACCATACCTGTGGCCTCTACCATGCCCTCCAGAATCACCACAATTTCGAATTCCTCCTTCTCCATCTGTGCCTGTGACATTTCCCAGAATGGGCTCTTCTCATTGATCTCATGTGAAATGATGAGGGGCGACACCAGGAAGAGGCGATCATCCCCTGTATCAAAGCCGATGTTGATGTCCGTCTGATTGAGCGGGATGAACTCACCCTCTTTGGTCTGCTCTGAGCGGATCAGCTTGGCTCGAATTGAGGCTTCCACAATATGGGAGTTCCGCAGGTCTCCCACACGGAACATTAGGCACAGTTTGTTGTCCCGAACCGAGATCACAGACTTATGTGAGAACATGAGAGTTTCAGCCCGGTTCTTGGGCTGTGAAATCTTCACAAACATGCAGCCCACCATCATGGCATTGACAATGGAACCAAGGATGGCCTGCACCAGGAGAAGGATGATTCCTTCCGGACACTTCTCTGTAATCACCCGGTAACCATAGCCTATAGTCGTTTCTGTTTCGATAGAGAAGAGGAAAGCAGAGACAAACCCATTAAGGTTCTCCACACATGGGGTCCATCCTTCCTCATTCATGTGCAACAGATCCCCTCTAATGAGTGCAATTAGCCACCAGAGGAACCCAAAGAAGAGCCAGTTCAGCACATAGACCAGAGTAAAGATGAAGAAGCTGAGGCGCCACCGCAAATCCACCAAAGTTGTAAAGAGGTCACTAAGATAGCGGTAGGTTTCCTGAACATTGCCGTGGTGCACATTGCACTTGCCATCTTTTTGCACATAACGCTGCCGGGGTTTTTTCACCGGTTCTGTAATCAGATGAGTGCGATCTGTTGAGATCTGCGCCTCTCTCAAGTGTTTTGGGAGTTTCTTCACCTGCTGAATGGGAGATAGAGAGATGAGATGAGAGATTAGAGAGATGAGAGAGAAAATCAGTTAAGGTTAAGTAATTAGTTTAATGTTTATTATTCAAGTGCCTGGAAGACCAATAAAATGATCAAAAACTCTTTAATCAACAGTGAGAAAAATAATTTAAAAAAAGGTTTTTGTTTGAGGTCTGCCTTCAATTACGTGTATGTCATATACTGATGTTTAACTGTTTTTGATGTGTTTATCCTGTCTGTTCACTTAAAGAAAGAAAACCACAACAAATGATGAGAACATGTGAAAAGCAGTTCCTTTAAATCCTTAAAAAAAAAACAAATAAATAAGCTGTAGGACAGTATGACAAAGCAGTCAGAAGTTGTCCCCATCACTACGGGATCTACAGCTGTTAGTTTGTCTTTCCTATTTTGCCTTAATATTTTGGGGTGTCAGTGATCATTACAAAAAACAACTTTTGAGGAGTTCTTTTAGACAGTGGAGTGTTTATCAGCATTTAGCTCCCATAGTTGTGAAGTCAACATCATACTGTTTTTGTGTTAGACACCTAGTAATCAAGACACACCTATCCTTGTCAGTTATCATAAAGTAGTTTTATAATGAAAACATTTTTAATTTGATCACTCTGATTTCTTTCAGATTAATGTTCTTCAAAGTGTCCCCATACTCTTTTTTGCTAGATAACCTCCTGAACAGCAGCAGATCCTCACAAATCTGAAACTTCTGGTCAACAGGAACTTAAAAATGCAATGTGCTGTATGTAAAAAAACAAAGTTCCAAAAGAAACCTTTGTCTAAAAATTTAGATTGGCACAAAATGATTACTTTTTTCAGGAAAAAAGGAAAAGTAAAGCATGATGGAAGTAATTTGACATATTTTGAATGTAGTATGGCTGTAAGATGGTGAAAACTTTCTGACCTCTCTGGGTGTCACTCCTGTTTCCATGTCGTGGTCCATGTGGACGCGAGAGTCTCCTGCCATCCTCAGCTCAAACTGCAAACCTGCAATAGAGTAAAGACCAGTGAAGTTTAATAAAATAGAACAGAATGGAATTGAACAGAATAATTCAGCAGTAGAACATGACAAGGAGTAGGTTATACGCAGTAATACACAACCTTGGGAGTTCTATTGCTTAACTATTTACAATTTATTTAGTTGTTCCACTGTCACAACTGCTGTGGAGTGGAAATTTATCTTGTAAAATATGTCAATGAAATGCATTCAACTCTGATTGCCTGGCAAACAGAGCAGTATAGTCATTTGTGCTGTTTTTGACCACTGTGACATCATACACACAAAAGCACCTTGGTCGATAACACTAAACAGTTATTTGTGTGATTAATTAAAAACTCATTAGGAAGAATAGTTTCTGTCTCACTGTGTGGATTCAGGTCGGCTAATCTGTGCCTAAAAGAGAAAGGCAGTCTCAGCTGTGCTTGGCAAGAGTGTGTTCTATTTGCTCCCCAAAGACCCTCTGCATCAAGGCCATCATGCCATGAAACCCTGCTGCTACCCAGGGAAACACTTGAATACAAATATGTGACCTTCTGAATGCTGATAGCAGCTTATAGTCAGTTCAGCTTTCACCTGTGAAATGCATCCAGTTAAGCTGTAATAAAGATTTCTCTTAATGTACAAAAAAGCTAAAAGAACTAAAAAAAAATAAGAATTATCACTTTTTTGTTAATACCATTTGGGGTGTTTGTTAATGTAAGAGAGAGAGAGAAGCAGATAGAGAGACATTTATGGTTCTACTTTTTTACTCCTCTCTAAAGTTATACACATCAGATTTATGGATTGAAATTAAATATGTTTTGATTTCAAGCAAGTTATCAGCTTGAATATATAAACATGCCTGATATCATTATCCTATATTATGTAAGGTCACATGGAAAAACCCAGGTTTCAAAAAGTTGAAACTAATCAGAGCAATTGATGCATTTTACTCCAGCGACTTGAATGATTTGAATGTCTCTAATAAATACTGCATTGGCTGTTGTCCTTACAGGACATCTACATTGGTCTACTGACCAGAAGTTGAAAATACTTAAGTAATTGTACTGTGTTACTATACTTCAGTATTTTTTTCAGCACAGCAGTGACACTAGTAGTAACATGTCAGTGCAGGGATGTCCAATCTTATCTGCAAAGGGCTGGGTGTATGTGCACTACACTGAGTCGATATCACACAGCAGGATTGCTGGACTTTTTAAACAACTCAGTGTCACTGCTGAGAAAATATCAGTGTCATGTGGCCAGAAACTGACCACTGATGAAGGAGCAGAGGATGACTAACACAAACTGTGCAGTAATAGATGAGCTCTCTCTATATCACCTCAAAATATACACCAAGAAAGTAGACGTGTGTAATAAAGTGAACAGTAAATATACACTATTCGTCATCAACCCTCCTCATGGAGATCTTTCACCTCTAATCCAAATGTAAAACACTTCCTTCAGCTAGTCAAAGGTTTTTTTAAAGGCAATAATTACATCAGGTAGGGTCTGTTAGGTTGGAGTCTGCAGGGAGGTAGATCTCCAGGAGCAGGTTTGGTGACCACTGCTGTAGTGTATCATTCCCATGTGAATGAATTACTTCAAATGTCTGCTCTGCATGTCACCTCATAAGAGTTCCTAAAGCAGCAATCACTAACCCTCTTTCTGGTGATCTACTTTCTACCTTTTTCAGACTATAGTTCCAAATTGCATCTAACACACACCAACAACACCCCCCCCCCAATAGTGCTCCTGAACCAGCTAATTAATGACTTCTGAAGAAGTTAATTTATTGAAGAAGGTGTGGCAGTGGTAGATTGTGGTTGGAACTAGACTCCACACGAAGGTAGATCTCCAGAACCAGGGTTGGTGACCACTGCAAAAAAAACATAAAATGAGACAAAAGAAATTGAAGAATAAAATCTGTTTACAGGTTACATGTTTACATGTTCTACTTTTTATACTACTGATAACTTATTAAATTCTTATTTTCCTTTATTATTTTTTTTTATTATTTAGCTACAAAATACAATGTAATGTTCTAAAAACATCCATCCATCATCTAAACTGCTTATCCTTCTGGGTCGCTGGAGCCTATCCCAGCTGTCATTGGGCAGAAGACAGGATACACTCTGGACAGGTCACCAGTCCAACGCAGGGCAGACAGACAGACATACACATTCACACACTCACTCACACCTGGGGCAATTCAGCATGTCCAATTGGCCTGACTGCATGTTTTTAGACTGTGGGAGGAAACTGGAGTATCCAGAGAAAACCCACGCAGACACGGGGAGAACATGCAAACTCCACACAGAAATGACCCCGGTCGCCCGGCCGGGAATCAAACCCAGGCCATTCTTGCTGTGAGGCGACAGCGCTACCCACTGCGCCACCATGCCGGCCTGTGCTAAAAACATTTCTTTTAAAATTCAAATTGAGGCCTGTCTACCTTTTTTGTACATTATTCTGTCTTTTGGTCCTTGGCCCAGTACAAACACTGCACTTCAGAGCCACCAAGACAAACTGTTTTGTTACCCCTGCTTTATAGAATGGGTGGTGTGCTGTTCTTTGAACGAGTGATGCTTTCTTCCTGTGAGAAAATATCTGTCAACAAATGTATAAAAAAGGATCATCTGACTTGCTGTCCTGTGCACTGGCGTTTAGTATATAGTTTAGTTTTTGCGATCTAAGTATCTAAGTACAGCTGTGAATGGGGTACAGTGCGTTTTGGAGACACATTGTGATCTGATTAATCAAACCACATTAGGATATGACTATATAACATTTATAGTGTGAACGCTAAGGGTCTTCTACAGCGGCAAAAGACCTTATTAGCTGCATCATTACAGCAGAGCAGCTGAGTCGCTTAATTTTTTGCCTTTTCTACTGTTTGTTTACAAGTCATGTTAGCAGTTCATGAGTTCTAAAAGTTTGCAATAGCCCTTTCATCTATACAAGCACGGATTCTCTGTACATTTTTTTCTGAGAACACATCCAGAGACTGACGTAGTAAATATGGGTGGTACGCATATTTCATGTGACTAGTATCTGGATTTTATCCTGATAAGATTTTAGCTACATGCATTTACACTTAGTAGTTAAATGTGTCTCCAGTTAATCAGAGTGAAATCCGATTACTGTGTGGGACGGAATATTCAAATCCACTCGTTGTGCAGCAACCATTTACCAATTGTAGATTAAGTCGTCTGCAGTGTGTTTTGCTCACGCAGCTAGTGAGGTACTGCATAGGGGAGGGGTTTTGGTTGTACTGGGAGGGGTTTTGGTTGTACTGGGAGGGGTTTTGGTTGTCGAATCTGTCATGGGAAAATAGATGCGTTTACAATCAAACGCATCAAATGCATCTCAGACCACCTCTTGGAGTGGTTTGAGTGATGGGATTTGTATCTGTTTTAAATGTGTCTTGGGTGCGCTTACACTTGCATTTTTATGTTGTGTGGCCTTATCCAGATACAATCCTGATACTCAAGATGCATGAAGTGAACAGGTGTAAATAAGGATGGAGATGCCAGGTGTGGACAGCTACACGTATCGCTGTCCGCTTATGACCAGATCACTCGAGATGGATGTTAATACCAAATGTGAACCGGGCCTGTGTTGTTGGTGTAAAGGATGATGATTTAAATATGTGTCATAACATTCTTGGCTCTGGTAGGTTGCAATACAGCATATCTGAGTGTTTGTAAGTGGGTTTATAAAAATGAAAACCATAGCTGATTTTATGGGTTTCGACAGGAAATGGTGAATCAAAGTATTTCATGACTGACAAGAGAAACCATAATCACTAGCAAAAGGAGGTAACATATGCTGAATATGAACACAGGAGACAGACTAGGGCTGGGGTGGTGATTGTGGTCCTGGAAGGCCATTGTCCAGCTGAGTTTGGTGAGTTTCCTGCGCTTGTCATACCTACTAAACCTTGCAATAAGTGGCTGAGTTGAATCAGGTGTGTTTAAGTAGGAATACCACCTTTTTTACATCTTTTAGATTTGTAGATTTTCAATGCACATTGTGTATTTATATATATTTTATCTGAATTGATATTGCATATCTTGTACAACCCTATTTCCAAAAAAGTTGGGACGCTGTGCAAAATGTAAATAAAAACAAAATGCAATGATGCGCAAATCATTTAAAGCCTATATATAATTGAAAATAGTTCAAAGACAACAAATAAAATGTTGAAACTGAGAAATTTTATTGTTTTTGAAAAATGTATGCCCATTTTGAATTTAATGCCAACAACACATTCCAAAAAAGTTGGGATGGGGAAAACAGAAGGCTGGTAAAGTTGTGTAATACTGATAAAAAACCTAGTGGTGAATTGACAACAAGTCAGTAACATGATTGGGTATAAAAAAGCATCCCAGTGAGGCTGAGGCTAAAGATGAGGAGGGGTTCACCACTCTGTGAAAGACTGTGCGAGCAAAAAGTGCAACAATTCGAGAATAACGTTTCCCAGCGTAAAATAGCAAAGAACTTTTGCTTTTCATCATCTATGGTACATAATCATCAGAGAATCTGGAGAAATCTCTGTATGCAAGAGACCAAAACCAGTATTTACTGGCCATGATCTTCGGGCCCTCCGGCAGCACTGCATTAAAAACAGACATGATTCTCTAGTGGAAATCACTGCATGGGCTTAGAAACACTTCTTAAAAACACTGTCTGTGAAAACAGTTCATCACTGCATCCACAAATACTAATTAAAACTCTTAAATGCAAAGAAGAAACTATATATAAACAGGATCAGTTAGTGCTGCCACCTTCTCTGGGCCCGAGCACATTTAAAATGGACTGAGGGGAAGTGGAGAAGTGTCCTGTGGTCTGACCAATCAATATTTGAAATTCTTCTTGGAAATCATGGACGCTGCATCCTCTGGGCTAAAGTCCACTCAGCTTGTTATCAATGCACAGTTCAAAAACCAGTATTCATGAAGGTATAGGGGTGCACATGACATGGGTGATGTGCACATCTGTGAAG